TTTCCAGGAATGCAGCTGTGTCTGCGCCTCCCCGTGCCCCACCGCGGGCGCGTGCCCTCATGTGTCTGACCTTTTCAGAAGCGTGTTGACATGTTCAGAAATAACCTTTGCGATGTAAAGATAACGTATTGGATCGGGAGGGGAATAAACAAATCAGCAGCCCCAGGAGAACAGGTCCTTTAAAAGCCATGGGGAGCCCTCGCAGGGGTCTGGCAGCTGCTGCTGGCATCCTGCTTCTCTTGTGTCTGCGGGGCCTTCCCGCTGCTTATCGCCGCCGGATCGAAGCACCCTGCCTGCCTTCAGCAGCTTGTCCTCACCTCACCTCTTGTGGGGTGGGTGGGTGGTTGGGGGGAAATAATGGGAGAAGGTTCTCTCCTCCCACTCCTCTCACCTCGGCCCGGCCTTCCCATGGAGAGACGGAGGGGTTGCCCAGCCCCTGGCATGGGGCTTCGCACCCGAGACCACCTTCCTCGCCAAGTCTCTGTGAGCTGTGTGTGTTTTTAAAGCCTCAGAGGCTGCCGATTCCCCCTCCGCTCTCCCCGTCCAAAGTCAAGGTAGCACAACGCCTTTCCCCAACGGCTGGCACCTTGTCTCCATGGCTTTCCATCAGGCGGGCGTTGCGAGGAGAGATAAGCTGCTCCGTCAGTTCACAACAGCACCAGGACAAACGAAAACCTTTCACTGTGAAACGGAGTTTGTTATTTCCCCGGACCACCTTGGTGAAGGCCCTTTTTGGGATCCCTGCAGGTGCCGTGGTGGTGACCAGTTTTGGGCCCCTTACCACAAAAAAGACATTGAGGTGCTGGAGCGGGTCCAGAGAAGGGCGACAAAGCTGGTGAGGGGTCTGGAGAATAAGTCTTATGAGGAGAGGCTGAGGGAACTGGGGTTATTCAGCCTGGAGAAGAGGAGGCTGAGGGGAGACCTTATTGCTCTCTACAACTACCTGAAAGGAGGGTGTAGAGAGATGGGGGTCGGTCTCTTTTCTCAAGTCACAGGAGACAGGACGAGAGGAAATGGCCTCAAGCTACGCCAGGGGAGGTTCAGGCTGGATATTAGGAAAAATTTTTTCACTGAAAGGGTTATCAGACACTGGAATGGGCTGCCCAGGGAGGTGGTTGAGGCACCATCCCTGGAGGTGTTCAAAAGACGGGTTGATGTAGTGCTGGGAGGTATGGTTTAGTGATGATGCTCCTTGTTTGTTGTGCGGGTGTCTATTTTTGTCAGTTAGGTTGACGGTTGGACAAGATGATCTTTAAGGTCCCTTCCAACCTAGAAGATTCTGTGATTCTGTGATTCTGTGGTGGTCCCAAACATCCCATCTTTGGGAGGGACTCGAGGTGTGCACATGGTGTCCTTCTGCACATCCCACGGGCCATGTGCCAGCAGCGGCTCCTGGCTCTGTATGGTCACAGTTCCCTCATGTATCTTCTGGACTTCGCCCTGGCTCCATCAGGCAGGGAGAAAAGGTTGCCAGGAGCTTTGAGTGCCAGGCAAGTGCTCAGAGGTTAAATTCCTGCTTTGCCACTGACTTCTGGTTCTGCTGTGGCCAAACCATGCAAAACACGGTCTCGCAGCCTTTTTTAATCCTGCAAGTCATTTTTAATCCTCAAAACATGCCTTATGATGTAAATGGGAGTGGTAGCTTTTGTTTTGCTCCTGATGGACTTAGGGGTGTTTGGCTGGGGAGGAGTGGTTGCTTATATTGGGCTTTCTTAATTAAAAATCTTGCAGATTTGCTTGCATATGGCAAAATGTAGTGACTAAGACTACTTCTGTAAAATGAAAAAACTGTACGGTCATGTCTGGTCATCTTGGGCAGCTACAGAAATGGGTAACTCTTGTCATGGACATTCATATTTGTTTAGGTCATTTACTGAAAAACTTTGATTTTTCCTATCAGGCAACTGGGAAGCCACTGATCTGAGCCAAAAGATGTGTGGATTTCTCCATGGGACACCAATTTCTTTATTTATTTCATTTTTAACTCATTGAAGATAAGTTCTTCTAGCAAAGCCCTATATGATACGCCTAAGCAATGTTTAACTGAGTCTTCTCCTCATTTTCTTCCTATCTTTTCTCTTTTTGGAGCAGGGGTAATTTGATTCTCACTGCTATTCTGAGAGAGATTCTCAGTGCTCTTTAATCAAGAGCAAGAAAATGGAGAAGTGCCAGAGAAGCACATGAAGTTTAGGGGAAACTGGACAGAGCGAAGTGTAAATGCTATCCAATTTTAAGAATTACCAGTGACTGCAAAGCAGCCGATGAACATTTTCTAATGTAAGCTCCACTGTTAAAGCTTTACGGAGGATTTATCCAGAACAGTGACTTTTTCAGTAATTTTCTGACCCAGCTCACCAGAGACTAAGCTCTGAGTGCCATACCTTGCCAGCTGCTTTCTTTAACATGTTCTGCTGCCTTAGCTGACTGTTGTTATTTCTGTCACCCGTCCTTCATTGATCACTGAGTCAGAGAATGATTCAAGTGCTATTTGAACAGCGATGTTTGGAGATTGTTTATCAGTGACTCCGTGTCTGTCTGTGGGAGGCACATTTTGCAATGTGTACTTCACGTTTTTTCCCCTCTGGTAATCTGCAGAGCCGGTGGAGGTGCAGGTCCACTGTCTCACCTCATCTCTGGGTGACTCAACTCCCCCAGGGATCCTACTCTTTCCCGAGCTCCCCCAGTGACACGCACCAGCAGAGGGTTAATGTTGCTGAGCTCTGGCACCAGTGTCCTTGTCTTTTCTTCAATACATAGTGAGTATGATGGTCCCTGCCTTCAGGAGCCCGTAGTTGAGACAGGTCCTGCCTCCTTCCAAAGAGGGGGAGAGCAGCACACTTCCAGCCTATGGGAATGGCGGTGGATGAGGCAGAGTCTTTTTGATCGCCCTTGTTCTATTGCGACATGGTCCTGAGAGACATCAGCCTTGGAGAAGAAGCTCGCAGTCACTTTTCTCCCACTCCTGGGGCTTTTGCCAGCTGCTGGGTTAGCTGAGCCGAGGACCCGAGGTGTTGATTGCTTTCTCAGGAGGCTGAAGGCCCATGTTCACCTTTTCAGTGAAGGGCATGGCCGGAGGTATTTTCTGTGCACTGTCACTAGAAAGACACACCATCAATCAAGCTTTGGTTTGCGAGGTCTACAAAAGAAGAGCCTGGTCTGTACAGCTCACTCCACTCTCCCACGCAGAGGCTGGGTCATGCCAGTCCATGTAACCCAATCGTTACCCCATGGGTAAGCGGTATCAGTATCATATGCCACAGGAGAATGATCTGACCTTTCTTGTTTATATGGTAAGTGTGTCCAGGAGGCTTCTTTGTCACCCAGTAGTCCCTGCTGCCAGCTTGCAGCGCATCTTGTCAGCTCCAGAGCTCTTGCCAGGGCTTTGAAGTTAACAAAGAGTTATTTGGAATTGCAGGGTTTTATTTCATAGAGAACCCCTGCGCATGGCTCAAATGAAAATGTTCTCCTGGGTCAGAATGTGCATGTTGACCAGTGCTGGGGGGGTGGTGGGCTGTTAGAGCACATGGTAACTGCAGGTCAGTCTGTCTCCAAAACCCAATGATGATCTGGTCTCGGTAATTAAGGACAGGTCATGGGAGGTTTCTGCTGGAAAACATCAGGAAGAGCTCAGAAGGGTTTATTTTAGTCCTCACTCAGTTGTGGAGCATGCAGGTAAAGATAGCCCATGTACAGGACCAACCCTCTCATCCAGTTGAGACAGTAGGGCCTTCTTGGGTGGCAAAATATCTGAGTGATATCAACTGTTCTCTGAGGAGAGGCTTAGATTTCCCCATGCTGTCCCAGTGTCTGATCACCACGGCTCGCTATGGCAGGTCAGAAACGAAAAGAGAGGAACTAAAGTTCTTCAGAAGAATGTTGTCAGTCCATCTCTACACAGTGCACAAATGTGGGTGCCCACCCAGGAGGTCTTTTGAGTTCCCAGTGTGCCGACATGGTATTTTTCTGCATAAAGTATCTAAGAAAAAAACATCTTGCTTAATGTTACACAAGCGAATGTGTTTACGAGACAGAACAATATAATTCATCTATCAAGCAGATTTTTTTCTTACAACTAGAGAAGCATCTCAAAGCCCTTAACTTGTCTAAGGCGCCTGTGTGCTGGCTGTCAGACGCCTGCACATTGTCAGAGACTCATCCCTAAACTGATAAGAGTAACAAAGAGAAGGGAGAATCCCCTTTGTACAGAGTAAAAATTAAGTGATTCACTCCAAGTCACAGCTGAGATCTGTGGTAAAACTGGGAACAAAACCGTAATCCTCCCCAAGTCCCAAGCCCTTCCCTGCAAACGCTCTCTTGCTTTATTATGCTTTATTTCATCCGTAAAGATAAAATAGTGCTGACTGTGCTAAGGGAGTCCTTTCATGCTTTGGTGCTGATGGCCAAAAGAGATGTGAATGTATGCGAGCAATAACTGCGAGTGCTCGGTGGTGGCTGCAGCGTACCTGGCATCACTCTGCTACTCTGATGCCTACGTGGCTTCATTCCGGGACGGACCGTGCTGGTGTCAGGCATCTCCCGGGATCGCACGAACCTGCATCTGGTTTTCCACGGAGCACAGCAAAAGTCAGAGCTCTCTGACTGAGCTCCCATGGTCTCCCGGGCTGTTTTGGGTCAGACCGTCCCCGGCCCTGAGCAGCTGTAGGGACAAATTCCTTCCTTTCGTGGGTGTCCTGCCACAGCGGCTCGGGCAGGGCTGGGGTGCCTGGAGGGTGGGAGGGAAGAGGGGCATGGCTTTTTGTGTGTGTGCCCAGGCCATCAAACCCCCTGGCCAAGGGGCAGCAGGTGAGCAACCTTTAAAGGGCACAGTGATCATGTCCTTTCTGCCTCCTCCTCACTGGTCTTCTCAAAATACTCCTGTGTCTTACCCAGGACCTTACAGGAAACAGTTCTCCATCTGATACAAATACTTTGGATTATAATTCTCATTTCACTCCAGGACTAACCTGAGACCTTTTAATTTTTTTTTTTTTTCCATACAGCAAGCACGAGGCCAGCCTTGACAAGCCCAACAGACAGTGGTGTGGCAGTTGCTGGAGATGGAGAAGACAGGCTGTTCCCTCATGAGCCCAAATTGAGCGTGTGACCCAGGTTTCTCAGGACCAGGTGGGTGTCACCTTTACCAGGCTTTGGGCTGTTCTCAAGAGAAACCATCCTTGGTTTTGGCCATACTTTTATTTGCCAGAAACTTACTCAGTCCAATCCCAGATGAGTTTCCCAGTAAGTTTTCTTCCCTTACTGGTTCTTCAGGCAACATTGTAAGGGAGGAGTATTAACACTGAATTACTGCTGAAACAAGGTTTAATTAGCAAGCGTGAGAAGTGAGTCAGGCTTTTTCCATGAAACCTTTTGTGATACAATTAGATAAAAAGGAGGTAGGTAGCATTCAGCTTTCAAGATTTCTTTATCTTTGGTAGCTCTCACGGTCTTCCTCTGAGTCCCAGACTTCTGGCACGAAATTCAGCAATTTTAATTGATAGATGCAGATAGTACTGACAGATAGACAGAGGTGTGGGTTGATGTATAGCTAGTACTGGCATTTGTGTAGAGTGACTGGAGCACTCGCTTTTGTCTTAGCAAGCCTTCCCCAATGAGTGCAAACAGCATCCACACAGTCCTGTTGGTCCCCAGCACCAGGCATTGCTGAGAAATTGAATTACACCCAGCAGCAGAGTCAGCAATGTAGGGTGGGCAGGGGTGGCAGAGGGTGTCAGACCCACTCAGAAGGGCAGGGGGAAGTTCTGAGAAGATGCTCACCATTAGGGTTAAGTTTTCAAGGGTTTGGCCCTCAGATAGAACACTTTGTGGTGACAGTCCTTGTTTTAAAAAGAGCTATATGTCCCTTGAAAGCGGTGACTGATGGTTGTTAAGCACATCTGGAGGCCTCATCTTTCATTCAGGACACGCGTTCTGTCTAGCTAAGGAAAATAAATCACATGCTCTTATTTATCTCTCCTCCTCAAACACTCGGAGATTTGAAAGCTGCAAATGTAGAAGTAGCAGAAGGAAATATTTTCTTCCACACAAGGCAAAATTCCCCTGTGAAATGCAAGAATTCAGAAGGGTTTAGGGAGGGAAGAGAATTTTATAGTTGCCGTAGAGGAATTATGCAGCCAGCTGTAAAGGAAGGTCATGAGTTTGATGTCTGAGTTTCTTGCTCCTTTTGAACATCACATGCTGTCTGGAGAAGAAGACCATCCATGTGTATTTTAGATGTTTTATTTATTCTTTTGGTTGTAATGATTGGATATGAATATTATGTCACTTATAAAGAACAGAGCCCAGAAAGAAACTTGTGCAGTATGTGCTTCTATTGTTTCTGGAAGCAGAGCCATGTGATTGCAAAAGAGGGGTCACATCCCTGCATACTCTTGTCTGTGTGCGTATGGCGAAGTTTATATTCATGGTCCCCACAGATAGGCTTTAAGTGCCCCAGAGACCCTATGTCGTGTTAAAGGCAGTACCAGATGAAGGCTATTGAAAATGATCTCCCACTGTGTCAGAACTGAATGTTTCATAATCTCTGGGTGAAATACCCTTTTATCATACTTCAGGATTATGTTCTGGGAGGGGAACATAAGAGGGGAACATATAATGCCTACTATACTCCTCTAATTGTACTATTTTTTCCCTAAAAGACAGTGAATGTCTTTTGTAAGGGCCAGTGATTTTCCCTCTGTGGTATGATATACCTTTTAATCTTTAGGAATCTCTCCTAGCTCACTCAGCTCACCATCATGGCTCATTATTCCAATTAATCACTGGTGACAGTAATACTCGCAAAAATGATAATACTTATTTATTCTCACTTTCAAAAAAGGCTGAGCCAACACACTCATTCTGTTTGTAAGTGACTCCAGCGGAGTTGGCGTGTCAGATTATTGCTTTACTACCCACATTGATAAGGTGTATATGTAGTAGTACATCTGTTACAAAGAAGATGTTCAGTGATTCCATGCAAAAAGGCATGAGTCAGTTCTCAGAAATCTTTTATCTGTCAGTCAGATGTGGATATGACACAAGCTTCCCCCACACGATCACCCACAGCATCTCAACCCCAGCCAGGTAGGGCTGACTAGAGGAACACTTGTACACTTTATTGTGTCTTCATGCTCATTTTAATTTCTCTGTTGGGACTCCTTGAAGACCGGCCCAGACCTTTGCATTGATTTGAATAGGCCCTTGTGTCGTGCCCTAAGTAAATTCACAGGTGTATTTTTTTGCTGTCGGGTTCATTAGTGCACTAATGGGGCTTAACGGCCCTGACCAGCCTCACCTGGGCCCTCCAACCACAGACATGGGCCCCAGGGCTCTATTTAAACTCAGCCCCAGACTTTTAGTCTCTCCTTCCTTGAGCCATCTTAGGGAGTTGCTGGTCTGCAGCCCCACCGCGGTGTGCTTTCCTCAGCCTGCTGACTGCCTTCCTGGCTTCACCTTGTCGCTGTGGATCTCCCTGGCTGTCACCAAACCAGGTCCTTAACCTTCTCTTGTGGATTGACTTCCCTGCTTCACCTGGGATGTGCCTTCTTGTTATGGTGTTGCCTCATGGCCTGGGCCCCTCTCGGTGCTGTGGGGTGGTGGGCCCTGGTTGTGAGGTCCCTCCCGGCTTGCCTCCCATCAGGGAGCAGCACTGCTCTCTCCACTCCTGGACATTTACAGGTCACCCCACACACCTCCCATTTAAAGACTGCACAGGATTTTTATCTAGTTCACCTGTTTGTCTCTAGGTGAATGAAGCCTCTGTGGAGTACAATATGGGTGCCGGGTAGAAAATGGGCCCACAAAGCCTGATGCAAGGGAATGTGAAAAGGGTTTTTTGAAAGGACGTGAGGAAATATCTCCTCTCTTCTTCAAGCCTGTGTGCAGTACAGATCTAGTCTCAAGATCTCATCCAAGATGGCAGACTGTCTAATATGCAATTTATGTACTTCTTTGTTGTCAGAGTCCAGCAGTTAATGAGCTCATTAGCTAGCTAACTGGGTTGGAGGTGAACGTAGAAGAAATGTCAAATGGGTCACACAGATGTAACTGAGAGCAGAACTAGGCCCTGTTTTTTTGATAAAAGTCACTGAGTTAATTTTTGAGGTGTTGTTCCCACAAGCCTGAAGAGTTTCCTATCTCTCATTGCATGTGGCAAGTGACCAGGAAAGCAGCGAACATTCAATTAACAAAATGATCCGTTCTGCTTTGCTTGGACCAGGTTCTCCTGGGTGGGAGCCGTTTCCCCAGCTGAAAAAGTCATGGGACAGTTGAAGCAGAAGGAAAGACCTTCAAGTTCTACTGAGCTTCTGGGGACCCCCACGGCAAAGCAGTCCTCTGCAAGATGCACGAGAGGCCACCGAAGCTCACCACCAGATCTCCTCATGGTAAGTGCTTGATCTTTTCTGCTTGCTGTGTATGTCTGCTGCATGTCTTCCTTCTGTGTCCATCCCTGGGGTGGACATGCTTCATGAAGTTGGTGTGTGCTGGACTCAGTGCTGATATTTGGTGCAATGGGATATGACTTGCTAATTTCCTGAGAGATCTTGTAGCTGGAGTGGAAATTAAAATGTAGGTAGCTTAAGTGCCAGGGAGGTTCCCCAAAAAGACGTGGGGGTTCCAATTGCAGGTGAAGGTGTCAGCCTACTCCCTTCTTATGGTTCTCTCCTCTTGTAAATGTTTGTGAATGGCCTTGGGTAGCCCAGAGTGGTTTTAAGCGGTTACCGCTGAGTTCAGGTACTCCAATACTGCCTTTTCCTTAGGGAGCTCACTGTTTACCTTCTTATTGCAGCTGTAATTATTTCTAAGGAGCTTCTGCTTTACTTTCTTGCGACATCAAGGTGATCTTAGTGCATCTCTGGCAGCTGCAAATGTGGGCCCAGAAATGAGTGTTTAAAACCAGTACATTGTGCATTTGTAGGCTCTCTGTGGCTTGTTCCCTCTACTGTCAAATTAATTGATGTTATATCATTGCTACTTCAGCTTAATACAAGCACAGGTTTTGAACTGGAGCTTATGTCCTTGTGAACATTAACAAAGGATAGTGAGATGAAATAAAAAATATTTGTAGATAAAATGTACATATTTGTTCCGATGTTAAGTAGCAAGTTTCAAAAAGTATCACCAGCAGAGATTTTTCTCTTACTACTGATTTAAACTGGAATGTGCTCAGATACTCTAATAATGAGTAACAGCATAAATTCTTAAGTCAGACAGATAATTACTCTTTCAGACAAAGAAACTTTGGGCTTTTATTTATGTCTAGAGACTGTAGTCTCATCCACACTGAGACTTCCTGGGTGTCTAAAAAGCATCCAGTCCACTGCTAGCTCCATAGGGTGGCACAAGCTTACCTCCAGGCGGTGCCTGTAATGTATAGGCAGTGTCTATAGTAGTGGTTCTCCTTTTGTTTGTGTAGGCTTGGGTGGCAGTGTTGACATCCTCTGTTGCAGCAGGACCCTCTATACCTTACAAGTTGCTTCTTCTATCTGAAGAATACGTTGCTGGTTGATAAAATTATAGTGTCTCCTGATATGGCAGCAAACACCTGAAATAAGTAAATATTGAAGGGTACCCTAGTGTTAGAAATTTAGTTTCATAGCAAGAGAAAGTGTGTTTCAAAGTGAAGTGCCCTCAGGAATGCATGAGTCCCATCAATCTGGTGTGTGCTGTGTCCTTGGGATCATTGACGATACTTTCCCAATGTGGTGTGGCTGTCCCGGAGCTCTGGGCCCTCCTTACGCTTCAGCTTGGCATCCCAGAAAGTCCATGTGTTCAGGAAGGAAAGTGGTGTGACGTTCTCGCAGGGACAGACTTGCTATGGCTGAAAGTGAGAAAACGAGAACTTTGAACTGATACACAGCAAAAAATCACAGTGTTGGTTTCAAAACTGGAACCCGGGTCAAAATATTATGTTTTTTCTCCCTTCCTCTCTAGTCCTAATGCCTAAGCTAGGAGTTTTTTGGGGGTTTGTTTTTCATTTGAGGGGTAGGGAAGACCATCACAAATATAGTAATTTAAATCAATAACTTGAAATTCAATTTTTTTGAAGTTCCCACAGGGAAAATTTTAGCAATATAAACTATGAAGGGGAAAATGAGAAAATGGCAAAAAGGAGAAAAACTTTGGTGGGTATATGATAAGACAAATGCCTAGAAAATGCACTGCACTGTGAAGTTTCCTTACTAGTGTCCCAGGCAGTCAAAAACAAGGGTAGCACATGTAGGTTCATTTAGTTGGCTTTGTTATAATTTGAAATGCCTTTAGAAGAAGGAGCCTTAGCACTGTGGGAGTCCCTCAAAGCAGCTTGAATTAAAGAAGGTTTCAATAATTAGAAGACGATTTGAAGTGCTGTAAGCAAGGCTTTGTGACATAGGGTGTGAAAATTCATTAAAATTTTTAATGATTAAATAGTCTTTTTTTTTTTTCTTGAGAACGGTGTTTCTTTCCCATCATCTCACCATTATGAAAACAGAGAAGAAAATATTTTTCTGGCTGAACATCACACACATGTTTTAGTCAAAGGGTTTCTTCCTAAGAGATTTTGAGGGACTCACAACTGGCTTTTGTCCTTACTGCCTTTACTCATGTGGGTGTAAACATGGTGTTATTGCAGAAAAATGAGTAACGTAGTGTGAATATTGCCATGTATCTGCTGAACCCATTCGCCTTCCCCTTTCTGTCCGTGTATGATCTTGTATTTGATTTGTTGATGGCACTGTGGGAATGAGGCTTTTCATTTTGTCCAAAGAGAAGAGTAAACATATTTGTTTAATTTTTATGTGAAAGTTGAATATTCATCAAAACATTTCCTTTTGGATGTGTTTGTATACCCATTCCTCCAAGAAATTATACAAAAAGCCATTACAAAAGGAAGAAGCAAAATGTTACTTTAGCTTGCCCTGGAAATCCGTAGTCTGATTTTTTTTTTTCAAAATGAAATGGTAATCAGAGCTGACACATTTCACTTCCAATGAGATAGTGTTTCCTGATACTGCACTAGAATGCTCTAACCAGTACTAATTGGGAGGCTAAGTTTGCATGCATGGGCAGGATACTGGCTTCACTGGATGAAATCGTTGACCTGTGTTTTTCCAGGAGTTGGGCTTGATCAGTAATCCTTTTTGGTTTTGAAGTCTATTAAAAAGATGTCTTTCTCTTGATTCAATGGTAACTTTTTATTAACAATTGAGGCTTGGCAAGTTTCTTTCAGTCTTAAAACAGAAATGAACATTTTATGGTCAGTTTCTGCTGTCTGTCCCTGTTGGGAATCACTTGTCTCTGGGAGGTGTACTTCTTGAAATGAGATATAGGCCACTCTGGCTCCCTTGCAGAGACGTGAGGATATAAAAATCCATGATAGCCATGACAGTCGTATGTGTGTCTGGGAAGAGAAGGGTCAGGGAGTAAGAGCAAGCTGCTGTGCTGGGCACTCGTTTGCTGTAATCTCTGCAGAATCTGGCCAAGTGTTACAGCTGCTAGGAAGGCAGAAGTACTCTTGAACCCTGCATTGAGCATCTGAAGGTTTCCAGTTATAATTTCCCTGGAAAAGATTATATTTTTTTCTTCAAGATCCTACTTAAAAGTAGCTCATGTTTGTGAAATGGGGAGGGAAATGGCTTCTTGGGTTGTTCCTCTGCAATGACTTGCCATTTAGAGAGCACGATGTGGGCCCTGGTTGGTATTTTATCACGAGTGCTAAAATTGCTGCAGGGCTGTGCGAGCAGGATAGTTCATCCCTGAGCTGAGGTCTGTGCTCCTCAGCTATTCTCACAGCAGTTCTCCTGTGGACAAGAAAAGCATTAACTCGCTTCAGAGAAAGGCCATTAGTCTTGGACAGATCTGTGAAGCTGCAGAGCGCCTCGCTCCTGGCAAAATGGGGTGGGCTGGTCAGGCATCCGTAATGCTTTCAGGAGGTCAGCAATAAGCATTGTGCCTAGAGGCAGTCTGTGACAGACACTGATCTAACCTATCCCCAGCCTCATCTTCACTTCTGTCTCTTCGCTTGCTGATATGGAAATTGCCTCCTCAAGCTCTGCTTGATCTTCTGGATTGGTTTGAACACGTGTGTTAAGGAGACTGGTCCTCTCATCTGTTCAGGGAGGAGCAGGAACTCTCCAGGGCTCTCTGTTGATTGCCTGCAATGCCAATGCTGTGACAGGGTCACCACGCTAAGCCAGGGATAGCCTGCAAGCTGAAAAGTAGAGCAGACAATTCCAACAATCCATGTTTCCATTTTATTGGGAAATTTGGCCTTCACACTTCTTTTGGCATCTAGTGCCGTTTTTTCTTCTCATGCTTTAACTCGAGGCTAGATTCTCAGCACAATCCAGCTGAAGGGAAACAGCTGTTGGCTGAAGTCCTCTGGAAAGCTCTCCCTTGAGCTCAAATCTGACCATTCTTGGCACGAGCTTCTGCAGACAACAGGTGACTCATTTTGCTTTGGAAAGCGTGGCCGTATCCTCTGCTGTCTCCTCAAATACTACAGGCAATTCATAGAGCAATTTCAGCTTTGCCTCTTCTGTTAATTGAAGAGGAGCTCCATGCTCACCCTTTGCAGCAGAGCCAAGCCAGTCCAGAATACACATTTGATGTAGATTATCCCTTTACTCTTTGGTTTAAAGTAACACACAAATAGAGCAAATGAACAGGGCCTGTGTGCCTGCTGAGAGATTTAATGTGCGAGCCACACTAAAGGAATTCTAAAGGAATACTGATGGCTACTGTAAATGAATTGGTAGGAAAGAGTCAAATGCCTCCACTAAATTAGACTCCTATTGAGTGACTGTTGAAATGCTCAACAGATTTACAGTCTGGACCTACCTGAAACACTAAGGAATTAGCAAAGACAGCTTGGGTGTGGAGTTTTTGTATCCCCGATTGCCCTACCTCCCACACTAGCAATATCGGACACTGGAGGCAAACAGGATAAGCTTTGATTCATCCTGATTTGTAACGGCGTTTTCCAAAGTGGCTTTCTGAAATTGTAAACAGAATGTTCGCACAGTAAGAGGGAGGAAATGCCAATATATTAAAATCAATGTACCAAATTGTGCGCTGTCCTGAGATTACTTTTGGCCAGGGGATGGAAATGACCTGTGTTTGGCGGAGCAGGGATTGATTCTCCCCTCTCTCTCGCTATTTACGCTAACACAAATGTGTAGCATCTTTGACGTCAGCCCACAGAGAACAGGAGCAAGTACAAGGGCACTCAGGCCCGTGAGGTTTCTGTTTGATTGCTGCCTCAAGGCAAGGGGGAGCTGTACCCGTGAGTGGCTTCACCTCCTAAAATGGACCATCTGCAGAAACGCTGGGTCTCCCTGTGAAGTCTCC